ATAAGATTTTAGAAGGACTTTACTTCATCCCCAAGTTGAGGTAATTAGAATTCAAATCATATAAGGAAGGTTTTGACCGTCTTTTAGAAGAAAAAGCCTAGACCCACCCCCCTTCTGCAACTAGTATAAATAGAGGCTTAGGTTAGACTTTAAAACATACCTTTTAAAGCACTCTGCCCCAGGGGAACAAGTTATAAATCCATAGAGAGGAGGAGAAACCCTGGTAGAGTTCAACGAGGAATTGTCATCATCGATGCTTATACCATTGGTGTTGTCTTCCTATTCTCCAATTCATTGCTAAAAAAGGTCATATTTGGTTACTAAAGATATTTAATTCCATTTGTGATCATTAGGTTTAGTAAAACATGTCATATTTGGTCACCCTCTATTACCTTCCATCAGTTATTTGATGACGTGACTAATAGACTCGCTTAGTCACCTATTTTTAACCCAAAAAAAATAAAAATTGAGCATGCCACATCATAAAAAATCTGCCACGTCACAAAATCTAACCACACATTAACCCATGACCGATCCAACCCGACCCACCCCAAATTAAAGCCTAAGTTTGACGGTTTCCAAGGGCATAAGAGATTTGGTTTCTTGGAATTCGATAATTAATGTGTACGCTAAGAAAGGCAAGGCAAGGGAGGCGATGAGTGTATATAAGGAGATGGTTGAGCAGGTGAAGCCAAATGAGGTGACGATGATTGGCTCCTTCTAGCTTGTGCCCAGTTGGGAGATCTAAAATTGGGAAGGGATATACATGGCTATGGTGGTGGTGGGTATTTTTTGGATTGGGGATTTTCATTGTTTTTTTAAATTAGTGTTTGTTTGTTTGGATTGGGTCGGCTTAATGACATAAGGGTCGATTTAATTGTGTATAGGTTTAAATTGGGTTGGGTAATGGGTTGGATTGAGATTTCAATGACATGACGGGTTTTGATGACGTGGTGGGTTAGGTATAAATTTTTTGGGTTAAAATAAGCTGATTGACAATTTTGTTAGCCACGTCAGCAAAAAAAAATAACTCTGTTAACAGAGGCTAACGGAGAGTGACCAAGCATGACTTGTTTTTATTAAGTCTGGTAACTACGAATGGAATTAAATATTGTTAGTGACCAAACATGAACTTTTTATCGGTTTTAGTGACCAATCTTGTCATTTACCCATTTGATGATGATGCTTATTGTGTTCAATGATCTTTACCATTAATGCTTAAGTCAATTTATGCTTGTATCATCTATTGCTTATGTTATTTGATGATTTAGTATTTGTATGCTTTAGATCGATGCTTATCATTGAATATCATTATGCTTAATATCATTGAGATTATTAAGAAATTACTCTCTTGTTATATCCCATTTCCTTGTGTATGCTTGATTAGTTGGCTTCGCAGGGGTTCTTTTCACCCTTCCCTCACGGTACTACCTCGCTATCAGTGACCTAGAGGTATTTAACCTTGCAAGGGGGTCCTTGCTGTTACACACGGGATTCCACGCGCCCCCATGCTACTCAGGTCAGAGAGTAAGCTAGTGATGCTTTCAGCATGAAATCAATGCTTGATTCTTAGATCATCAATGCTACAATCTATGATTTATACCTCAAGAGGCCCACACTTAACCAGATGCTATCCTAAGTTACTTGTTATTCATTGATTAGGTGATGGCATGAAGTGAAAGGATGCATTAGCTAGTCAAGTTCCTATTGCATGCGGCGAAAGCTCGAGTAGGATGGCCTTAGTAGAAGGGATAAGACATCTTATTAGATTATGCATAAAAGCATCTCATTAGTGAGTTAGTATGCATGATCATCTAGATATCACAACCTAAACAAACCTTTTACTTTCTTTGCTTTCTTGTTTTGTATTGCTTTTCGTTTCATTCTTGTTTAGTAGATTAGGATTTCAAGCAAGGGCACCTCAACCTACTTAATTTACTTTTATTTGCATTGTCATTCAAGCATAATTGGTTAGAATTTAGTAGTTTCCATCAAAAGACCTAGTGGAATACGATCCTAATTATCTAGAATTTTATTACTTGTGTTCCACTATGTTGTTATCAACAAATCACATTGACTTGTGAACAACCTAGCTGGATTCGCAATAGCTTCTTTCACCCATTTCCAAGTGAAAAATCTGTGTTTTAGGGAAAATAAAAGGACCACAACTATTTCCAAACTTTTTTATCAAGGCGATACGAGATCTCATAAAAGGTGGGAGGGATTGATCGTGATTATTTCTTTGTGAGCTATACGCTAATTTGACATTGTACTCCCCTATATGTGAGAGCTTCCACACTCACTTGTTAGGGGAACCTTACGGGCCAATAGGAATAGGATCAATAGGATGATCCACCTTTCAGGAATACAGGAACTGATAGCCTCCATATTCCACATAGACTCCTTTAGGGTACCCCATACACTCACATAAGACAATTCCAAACCATGGCAGCAAAGTGAGAAGGTCGGAAAGGATGCTACACAAGGATCACAATGAAACATAGTCTCATCTCTCAAAATTATTTCTTTAACCAATACCAATGCACCATTTTCAATTAATTTATTATTTTGGATATAGAGACTCTTAATATGCATTCTATACCTGTCAAAACCATAAGATCATATTAGGGTTGAGAAAATTCCCAATTTTCTATACCTGTCAAAACCATAAGATCATATTAGGTTCAAGAGTTTCACATAACATAATTTTATTCTACTCATGGGATTGTTAATGAGATTATTGTGTTTATACAGCTCAACAAAATGGTAGGGTTGAGAAAACATCGGCATCTCCTTAATGTGGCCACATCTTTGCAATGCCAATTAGATTTACCTTTACAGTTTTTGGGGGGATTTTGTGCTTCACGCAACCAACCTTTACCGTCATTATTAAAGGTGAGAGATCTGGGAGAACTTCAGTATTTCCTTGGTTTGGAAGTAAGTAAAACAACAACTGGCATACATATTTCAGAAAGAAAATATTGCACAGAATTGTTGAAGGAAGCAGGTTTAATGAATGTAAACCAGCTAAGACACCATCCAACATCAAACAACTTCTCTCAGCTGCATTGTGAACCCTATCTAGACATCGGCTAATTTAAACATATGCTAGGTCAATTGAAGTACTAGACCAGATATTAGCTTTTTAGTCCAACAGCTTGTCAGTTCCAAGATTCTCCAAATACAGTCGACTTCAAGGCTTTGCAAAGGGTGTTCAGATACCTAAGAAATTCACCAAGATACGGGCTCTTCTATTCCAAGGATTCAACTAAACAGTTGAGTGGTTACAGTGATTCTGATTGGGCAGCTTGTCCAAATTCTAAAAGGTCCTTAGCAGGTTTTTGTGTCTTTTTGGGTTTTAGTTTGATTAGCTGAAGAACAAAGAAGTAGAGTACAGTTTCGAGGTCTTCTTCTGAGGCTGAGTACAAAGCTTTAGCTCAATTGAGTTGTGAAGTGCAATGGTTAATGAGAGTCCTTTCTAACTTTGGAGTTGTTCATTCCCAGCCAGGAAAGGTTTATTGTGATAATCAATCAGCCATTCATATTGCTCGCAATCCTGTTTTCACGAAATAACAAAACATATTGAGGTGGATTGACATGTTATCAAAGAGAGATTGATTAATGGTTTGATTGATCTCCATCATGTTTCTACTACATATCGACTTGCAGATATTGTTACCAAGAGTCTTGGTAAAGATTGCTTCAACATGCTAATGACAAAGCTGGATGTTTCTAGCCGACACTCACCGCCTTGTGGGGGTGGGGGATAACAGAGATATAAGCTAGAGCAGCAGTAGCTGAAGCTTCAATGAAGAAATCCCACCATGAAGCTGTTGCTATTAAGGAATAAGAGTTGAGGGTGAAGATCCCATGTCCCGAAGAAACGACGGTGTTGTTATAATCCTGTTAGTTGTGTTTGGTCCAGAATGAAGTCCTTCCCTTGGAAAAAGAGAGAAATAAGTCGAAACGACATTGTCTCTCTTTGTTGATCGCTGCAAATAATCAGTGTTTCAAGGACACTTGAGGTTTTGTTATTAATCAGTTTAACTAGTTAGTTTGTTTTACTGTTGATTAGTCGTTAGGATTAATAGATGGATGTACAGGTTTTATACATATAGGAGAAATGCAGAAAAGAAGCTCTCAAGAATTTGAGATCCTTCACCAAAAATCCTAGTTGTTTTCTTTTCTTCTAAGTGCGGGAGAGCTATGTTTACACTTTCTATATAAGTTAGCGGATAGATTCCAGGTTGGGCCTCGAGAGATGCAATGAGCTTGTTATCTCAAATTTAGGCTATAATACGAATTTGGTGCGCATATAATTTTCTACACATGCACCTTCCAACGATAACAAAATAAATTAAGGAAATATGTAAGGAAAAGCAATAGAAATATAAAAAAAAATTCAATATTATTCTCACGGATAGGATACGATACGTAACTTTGTTACATGACCCTACACTTATTATTGAAGAAATATCTTTACATTTTCCTCTAAATAAGGGCTAATACCACTACAACACCCGAACTATTCCGAAAATGTCACTTGTGTCCTATTGTTTTCAATATTCCATTTGTGTCCTGAACTATTTTTCTGTTAAGGTTGACTTGTTTTGACCGTTAATTTTTAACAGAAAGTCTAGTCAGCGTTGATGTGGCACATGACGCGAAATTTTAATTTATTTTGTATTTAATAAAATAATAAAATAAACAATGAAAAAAAAGCGTTCTATCTCCACCATTCATCCCCTCGGCCCTTTCTCCCCGTTCACCCTTCCCGGCACCGGCTGCTACTCCGCTCAACAACGACAGCAACACCATGCTCCAACAATCATCTCCGATTTCTTCACCGGATGGACTCTCCTCCTCACCCACGAGCGAGTTCATGATGTGAGTTGCAGATGCCCACAACGAATCATCGGCAAAGCTCGACGAAACCAGGCCGTAGGAGGATTGATTTTTTTGTTTTCTAGGTTGTTCTACGGAGATTCGCTAGTAAATCAATGCGTTGTTGGATGGAGGTGCCGGCGGATCTGGATTCGCAAGAAGCGAGGTCACCGATATGGGGGGTTCCTCGCCAGTGCGAGGGATTCGGGTTCCTCGCTGCTTCGCTTTTGGGATGTTCTTGGTCGACCGGCGATACTTATGAGCTCAGAATCGAAAGCAAGCAACGAAACCCAAATCAGAGAAACTGGGTTCCCGACACCTGTTGCTACTCCGAATCAGACCTCGAAAGCAAGCAACGAAACCCAAATAGGAGAAACTGGCTTCCCAACACAATAGCACCAACAGTGTCAAGGAGACCAAGGGACTGGGACGACGACGATGGCAGTAACCCAATCGATCGAATTTTGAATCGGACTTCCATTGCCCGATCTTAGCAGGGTCGTTGGTGATTTGGATCTTTCAACCCTAAATTCATGTTGAAGAGGCAGAGGTTCAAGAACTGGATCTCTTTGGCGAGGATGGAGGAAGAAGAGTTGGAGGCGGTGTGCGGAGGAGCTCGAGGGACGAGATTTGGTGGAGGTTGACCCATTGATGTACTCGCCGGCAAGGAGGCGGCGGCGGTTGGAGAGTAAGATGTAATTTTTGGCACCGGAGAAGACGAAGAGATGGAGGAGAGTTTTACGAGAGGAGTTTTTTTATTATTGATATTACATATTTTTTTAATTTTTAATCTCTTTATTTTTAGCTTTTATTTAATTTAAAGTGAAAATGTGAGGTGCAATGACTTGGCATTGCCACATCAGCAAAAGTCAATGATAAGTTGACCGCTGTTTGGTCAACCGTTATCCTTAACAGTCAACGAAATTCTCAGGATACAAATGGCACAAAGTATAATAGTTCATGAGATGAATGGAATATTGGAAACAATAGGACACAAGTGGCATTTTCGGAATAGTTCGGGTGTTGTAGTGGTATTAGCCCTCTAATTAATTATAACAAACTATTTCTCTTTCATTTAAATTTGTTATTTTTTATGCACGGAAAATTCAGTTTAATTTTGCTCTTCAAAATTGACATCCAGTTTGATATATTTTGGAACAAAACAATAAGATATTTATTACCAGTTCATACCATATAGTAATGCTTGATAGTACATAAGATTATACCACGTGGTATGAAAGTGTATCATGGTAGTATGAATATACAAGAGTGTAGAATGGTTGTACAAATGATAGTACGATTATATTAATGATCATTTAACACTTTTCATCATTGTCTACCACTAGTTACCACCATATACCAATATGGTATATGGTGGTATATTTGGTTATGAAAATTTCCTCGAAAATATGTAAATCCAATTGATCACAATGAACTCGTTTCTTCTTGGGGGAAATCAGAATTTGAGTTAACAACGAAGGTGGTACTTGGGTGGTACGTAAAAGAAAATTCTCGAAATATATTGAAAATGAATTTTTTAAAATCCAAGTTAAAACTAAGAGTATAAAATTTAATTAAAACGTAGAATAAATAAAAAGTCATTTAGTTTCATTCCTTATTTCTGGCCCACCACAAAAAATCTAAATGGTGCGGGGAACCGATCCCCTTTGGGTCATTAATGCGTCTCCTAAGCTATAATTGTTGTAGTTTGGGAAGTACACATGCAGTTAGATCTTAGTAGTCGCTTCTGCGACAAACTTCCCCTCAAATTGTTTTCTTAATGGAGACGACACAGATTGAGCAAGAGAATGAGGATACTCGAAAGGAACTTGGTTTTGAGAACGGTGAGAGTTGGTCGGCAATTGTCACTTAAAGAAGCAGGGCTGGCGGACTTAGCTTGTGGTGGAGCGATGGACTCTAAGTAACGGTGATGTCAAGGTCCTTTCATCATATTGATAGTAAAATTGTTTGAGAAACTTATGGTACGTAGAGGTTCTCGGGCATATATGGATGGCCGGAGGGAAGTGAGAAATGGAGGACCGGGGACCGGGGACCTTATTCGAAGCTTGGTAGGGCAGTGGGATGGGTCGTGGTTATGTGGTAGCGACTTCAATTAGATCCAAGTTGACGAGGAAAAGGTGGGTGGTAATAGTCCGAATGCAGCTGAGATGCGGGCGTTCAATGATTGCTTGACGTAGGTGGGATTATAGGACCTGGGTTTCCAGGGTTATAACTTCACCTGGAAAAACTCACAGCGACTTGGTGGATATATCAAAGAAAGGATAGATAGACTTGTGGGATCGGATACCTGGAGGGACAAATTTCAGAATGTGCAGGTACTCCATCTTGATAAATTGAGATCGGATCATAGGTCGATCGTTTGTGATAGCTTGGGTGAAGAAGATGTGGATCCGGTGTGGGGGTGGTCTTTCCGTTTTGACTCGATATGGGCCAAACATGAGGAATGCTCGAACGTGATCCAGGAAGCATGGCAGCAAGGTGGAATGAGTGATACCTACTCAAAGTTAGAATGTTGTCGGGAACATCATGACCGATGGAGTAAGGAGGCTTTTCCAAACTTTAGAGTCTTGAAAGGGAAGATCACTAGGGCACTTCGAGTGATTGAGCATGCCCCTAAAACTGAAGTTGCGATCGAGCAAAGGAGGGTTCTAGAGTCCAAACTCGAAGAGCTTGAGGCGAACGAAGAGGAATACTGAAAGCAGAGAAGCCGAGTTGACTACCTTAGAGGGGGTGACAAGAATACACATTTTTTCACAAGAAAGCTTCTGCTCGCCGGACGCATAATACCTTTAAGAAGTTAAGAAGTGAAGGAGGTCAATGGTGTATAGGGACTGAAGCAGTCTCGAACTACATGGTCCACTACTTTAGAAACTTATTTAAAGCCTCCGAGACTCCCAACTCTTCCTCAGCCTTAAATTCGGTTCTTGTGAGAATTGGTGTTGATGAAAATGAACTGCTACTACGCCCTATTACTAGGGAGGAAGTTTTTGGTGCGCTCAAACAAATGGGATCCCCGAATGCTCCAGGAGATGACGGGTTCTCGGCCCTCTTTTTTAAAAGATACTGGACGATTGTTGGGGATGAGGTCACTGCCACAGTTATTAATATTATTGAAGAAGGTTCAATCCCGACTGCTTTGAATGAGACTTTGATCGCTTTGATCCCGAACGTAAAGACCCCTACTATACCTATGGAGTTTAGGATGATAAGTTTGTGTAATGTCCTTTACAAGTTATTGGTGGAAGTCCTAGCTAATAGACTCAAACATACCCTAGATAAAATTATTGACCCTGCACAGAGTGCATTTGTTCCAGGATGGGTCATCTCAGATAATATCATGGCAGCTTTTGATGTTTTCACTTTATGAAGAAAAGGAAGAAGGGGGCGTGTTGGAGTGGCGGCGGCAAAAACTGACTTGGCTAAAGCCTACGATAGGGTTGAATGGAGTTTTCTGGAAGGAATGATGAGGAAGTTGGGCTTTGATGAGCAGTGGGTGACTCGAATAATGATGTGTGTATGATCCGTGTCTTATGTTGTGGTGGTGAATGGACACAAGTCGGAAACTTTTTTGGCCGGAGCGAGGGTTGAGACAAGGAAACCGACTATCGCCTTATTTTTTCATCATCTGTGTGGAAGGGCTATCATCTTATATGAAGAAGGCGATTGCAGATGGGAGAATCCATGGATTCCAGCTGGCTCACGGATCACCGGTGGTGTCCCACCTCTTTTTCGTTGACGATAGTGTGTTCTTTTTCAGGGCCACAGTGCAGAAGGGGAAGGAGATTAAAACTATCATGAAGGACTATGAGCGTGAATCTGGACAACTTGTAAACTTCCAAAAATCAAATGTCTCATTTAGTCCGAATGTTAAACGCATAGAAGGCTGGAGGTGGGAGGCGTTTTGGAGATGAAGTGTGTCACGAAACATGAAAAATACCTGGGTTTGGCAACTAAGGCGGGCAGGTCAAAGAAGGATCTATTCTTGGAAGAAAGAGTCAGGAAGAAGTGGAAGGGGTGGAAGGAAAGAACCATGTCCTCGGCAGCACGTGAAGTTTTAATTAAATTAGTCACGCAGGCTCAACTGACTTATGCTATGGGTATTTTCCGGGTTCCTGACGAAATTATTGATGATATCAACAACATGATCACTAATTTTTGGTGGGGGACAGAAGGGGAGTGAAAGGAGTGCCCACTGGATTAGTCGAGAGGAGTTGACGCAACCAAAGAAGGAAGGAGGGATGGGCTTTTGTGATCTTAAAGGCTTCAACACGTCTCTCTTGGCGAAACAACTTTGGCGACTGTCACAAAGGCTGGAGTCACTAGCGGCTCGAATATTTAAAGCTAAGTATCACAAGAATGTTATGATCCTGGAAGCTCAGCGTGGCTGTTGATGTGACTTGAATATCGGAATATCAGCCGCTACGACTGGTAATCGGGTCCATAAAGGTTCGGACAAATGATGGTTTGTTCTGTACCGTGAATGATGTCAGACATGTTCCACGAATGACAAAGAACCTGATCTCCTTGAGTCTACTCGACAGCAAGGGTTTCAGTTTCAAAGGAAAAGGTGGAGTTGTGTATGTCTGCAAAGGTTCAAGGAAGGTGCTGAAGGGTGTGAAGCGTGGGACCTTGTATGCATTACAAGGATCTGTGTTGTCGGGTTCTGCTGCAGTTGCATCATCTCAGGTTCATCAGGAAGATATGACCACTCTCTGGCACATGAGACTGGGGCATATGAGTGAACGGGGGATGCAAGTTCTGTCGAAGAGGGACCTTCTTTGCGGGCACAAGATGCAGAATTTGGAATTCTGCGAGCATTGTGTGTTTGGGGAGCTACATCGCAGCAAGTTTCCCAAGAAGAGTATCCACCAGACGAAGGGGATGCTGGATTACCTCCACTCCGACTGTTGGGGTCCTTCACGAGTTGAATCCATTGGAGGCAGCAGGTATTTTCTGTCTATTATTGATGATTATTCGAGATTTACTTGGATTTTCATGATGAAGCAGAAAAGTGAGGCTTTCACGAAGTTCAAGCAGTGGAAGACATTGGTGGAGAATCAGACCGGTAAGAAGATCAAGAAGCTGCGAATAGACAATGGTCTGGAGTTCTGCAATCCTGAGTTCAACGAATTCTGCAAGGATGAAGGGATTGCCCGTCATCGGACTGTTATAGATACACCCCAGCAGAATGGCGTTGCAGAAAGGATGAACCAGACATTGTTGGAGAAAGCAGGGTGCATGCTCTCTAATGCTGGACTAGAGAAAAGATTCTGGGCAGAAGCAGTGAACATGGCGTGCTTCCTGATCAACCGTGGACCACACACAGGTATCGAGTTGAAGACTCCTTATGAGGTGTGGTATGGTAAGCCTGCTGATTACTCTTCACTGAAAGTTTTTGGGTGTCCTGTTTATTATCATGTGGATGAGGGTAAACTGAACCCAAGGGCAAAGAAGGGTGTTTTTATGGGTTACG